GCTGTAGAGAAAGAGTAACTACAGCTCAAAAGATAAAACTCCAGTTCCTCACATTTTTCCATCTCAGCAATTCTTGAGGTGGAGATGAGTCAGAACGAGAGCCACACACACAACTGTTTTCTCATCACCTCTGCAAGTCGTCTGTGAAATTCTGGTCTCCTCATGCAGCTCCACCACACTGGAGCCACAGAAAGACAGGACCAGCCATACACAGTCTTTTCAGATGTTTGTTAAACTCAGCAGCTGCTCCATTTGAGAAATATCGCCCCCACACTCGCGGCACTCAGAGCCGTCAGTAATTGCATGTTGGAGAGAGTATTAGAGAGAAAAAAAAAAAAGTCTGCGCAAGTGTAGCCAAGTTATGGTCCAGATGTTCAGGATTAATGGCTTGTTATGAAAATACAATATAGTTCCTCGCAAAGTTAGTTATTTGGCTCTGCCATGCACTCGGCATGTAGCAGTCCGTGTGTAGGCTAGGAGATAAGAGAGGGAAGAGTTCAGGAAAGTTCTGTGTGCCATGTTGAAATGTTGAATACATTGGATACTTTATATACAGCATTGTTTAAATTTAAAACGTTTTCAATTAAATACCATGGCAACCATTTACACCATCAGTCTTCAGATATGTTGCTAATGGTCAGTATAGCCAATAGGTGGCAGTAATTCGAGACGCAGGGATTTGTAGTTAGCAGGTAAAGTAGGGAGTACTGGATAAAAATGCTTTTACTTTGGTCGTAGTACTTTGTTTACATGATGGCTTTAAAGTGTTTTTTTCCCCCCTGCTAATGTGTATTCTTATTGTTAAATATTAATGTAATGTCAAGCACAGTAGTGCTCTTGTTTGAGGGAAACCTTCAAAAATGGATTTATTACAATATAAAATGATTCATTTTTATTTATTCCATTTAATGTATAAAAATATTAATTCTTTTTTAAATAAATGGTTGTTTTGGCCATGTAATAGACTCAATGTTGTGACATATTTCAGCCAATGGGGAGGCAGTGCCCCCCCCAGGCCCCTCCGCAAACTCCATCTAGGTTTCTAAGTCCTGTAAAAACATTCTCTGACTGTAGATCCAAAAACAACTGTCAGATTTTGGCTCAAACATGCTCAAAATAAAATTGCAAGTACAAGACAAGGACGTTGGAGCTTAAGCTAAACCATGCTATGCTAAACTAGGCTAAGCTTAACTACACTGGCGATAAGAGTAGAATCGCTAAAGAAAGGATCATTTTTTAAAATTAAAATGAAATGTAATTTTGTTGTTCATGAGACGTGAAATGTTAAAATGTACATTGAAAGGCACTAGTGAAATCATGTAAACAAACAATAACAATATAAACAAACCTTTGTCTTGAAAGGTACTAAGAGGAAATCGAAGCAATTCAATTAAACGCCCAGTGAGAATTTCACAGATTTGTTCTCATTTGCAGAGTGTGACTTCTCAGTAGTAGTACACAAGTAACTAAAATACTGCATATCTTCAAATACAGCACCATCGGAGTATATTCCCATACTGGCTGCTGTTTATACCTCTCATGTTCCTTTTGTTTTTCCCCCAGGCAGTATTCAGTGACCTTTAACAAACCAGCATGTCTTTAATGGAGAACCGTAATTTAATTATTAGGAGACGTGAAAACAGTGAGTTTGCACAGACAGCAGAGAAATTAAAACTTTTTTTTATAAAGCTGTGCTGTATAAAAACTGATCCTTACTCTCGCCCTGGAGGAGCAAATACCGTCATTATCAGTCCAGCGTTGTTCACACACACCAAATATAGAACAAAATACAGATATGAGGTCAGTGTGCAGTTTGTAATGGTACATTTTCTCGTGTGAGTTTGTCAGATTATACAGTTTACCTACTAAAAGACAGATGTGCATTTATTTTACAATATTTTGTATGAATGTATCATTATTTCTGAGCCGCTTCTGTACACCTCTAATGTCGAAGTGCTAAACTTTTTTTTTTTCGCTCTCTTTTTCCCAGGGGACCTTTCTTTGACAGCTGCGTCTGCTCTCATTTGAATCAAGAATGGTTTCCCACCTGTCTCTGTCTCACGTCCAAGTAATGATACTTTCTATCAGTTCAAATGGCTTTCACTCAGCCGTTCTGGTTTCAAAGAAATTGACCAAAAAGAATTGGAGCAGGAGAGAGAAATGTGCATTGAATTCTAACTCGGGGAATTGATTTAGAGGAATACGTTGAAGCTGCCACGCAGATCCTGTTGACAAATCACGGTGAGAGATCGTGGAGAAATATTTCTAATCGAGTGTCACTGTAAAAACTGAAGTTCATTTAATCTGTTCAATTGTTTTATGGTAATTTTGTAAATGGCCCTTGTTATCAGTAAATTAACTGCATTTTTATCAAATCGTAAAAAATCCAATGTATTTTAGTTAAATACATATATAAAATATATGCATAAATATATAGATATATGTATATGTCTATATAAATATACTGTATATACAGTATGTCATATGTCATAAATTAACTTTGTTATTAGTAAATCTTAATTAATTGCATTTCTATAAAATTGCTGTACAGGATACAACACATATTTAAATATAATTCAATGATATCATGAACAAGCTCTACGGACTGTCCCTTTCTTGATCTGTCGTCATACCAACCACCCTTCATGTCTTCCTGCACATGGACCATGAATCTTCTCCACTATCTCTCAAAGTCTAAACCTGTCCTCTCTGACTTTGTCTCCAAACTGTCCCCCACCGTCTCATCTGCTGATTTCCCAGTGAAAACCTCAGCGTCTCCACAGCTGCTGTCATTGAAACCCAACATTTCCACAACTCTCTTCTCTGGCTTCCGGTCTAAACCTCTGTGTCGTGTGGGACTTTTCTGCTCTGGTGGACGCCTGGTGAACGTGTCAAATCTCACGTGACATTCTACACAGTTATACTACTATGACTGGACTCACATGCTGCAGCAGACAGGTCAGGTCTGAGTCACCACACATCTGTAAGATCAGGTCTGAGTCACTTCAGCTCAGTCATCTGAACTCACCTTGGTTTCGGTTTTTATACTTTACATCACTTAAGTGTTTCAAATTGGACCCAGAAATGAGGTTCATTAACGCCGTCATTAGCCTTAAGTGCTATTGTTAACTCTGATCAGTGCTGGCATTTTGAAAAACCCTCTTTTCTTTTCTTCTTTTTTTTTTTGTTCCCCTCACACCCACAGACTCGGCTCACAGACCACTGTGTCATCTATTCTGCCTGTCAGCCTCGGTTAATGAACAAACACTTTTCACGGCTGTATTATTTCTAAAATGGTTTATCAAATTAAGGGAAACTGCTCAATAACTGCTGCGGTTGGAAATCTTTCCCACATAATTGAATTAAGGTTGTTGTTTTTTTTTCTTTTTTCCTGTGATTTCTGTGTTTGTTTTTGGCAGCTGCCATCTGGTTGCCTGGGACCAGCTCTATTAATAAGCTATTCAGATTGAGACGGGGCTTTATTCCAGCAACTGTTTCTCACCTCCTCTTCCTCCCTTCCTGTGTCTCCCCTCCCTCTCTTGTTCAAATGATTGTCATGGAAATCATCAGAGGTGCCAAAGCAGCAGACAAAAGAGAGAGCCCTGACGTCCACCTGAGCCAAACAGAACAGAACTGTGCTCTCATTTTCCACGGGAACAATTAAAGTCTGCGCGTAATTATTGACGGGGGACTTCGCGCGCTAGCATATGCTGATGAACGCCACTGAAAAAAAATGGAGGTGTTGGATCAGTAGATGTAGAAGACGTGTGGAAAGGTGTTGCTTTGAATGAAAGCTTCTGTCATCACGTTGCGGCTACGCTTTGACAAATTGGACAATTTGTTAATTTTTTTTAAAATTATTATTCTGTTGTACGATTTCACTGCCCCCATGTTCTGAAATTAATTTCAAAAGTAATTTTTTAAAAATATGTGTGGGTTTTAATTGTATTAATTTTCTTATCTTTTCACAGTTTTGGTCTCCAATGTCCCAAGAATAAGGGAAAAAAAATACCAACAGGCAGGTTTGGCTCAGTATTCCAGTCACACCTTCCTCTCCTCTAGTCGTACAAGCCTACTTTAAAATTCATAACTACATTTGGAAAGAATAAATGGCTGATGGAATATTTCCAAGCAGCTTACTTGAGCGAAAACACCATTGGCTTCGGCGTATTTAATAATAACCCTGACGTGGTTTTTAAGACGTACAGGAGTGATAACTGTATTTAAAAAAAAAAAATAGAGCGAGAACTGAAAAAGAGAAAAAGAAAGAATCTGTTCCATGCAATAGCAGGAAAAATAATTCAAGCCTCCAGGAGAACGTGAACCATAAAGAACAAAGGTGAAAATTGCAGAAAAAAAAAAACAAAAAACACATGAGATTTTGGTTGTAGTTGTCAAAGAACAGAAACAGATTCTTACGGTGATTTCCCCTCTTTTGCCCTTCTCCTCTCTTCTTTTGCCCAGTAAGCAGCCAGAGATGACTCACACTTGACCCTACATTGATTAAGATAATACTGGAGCTGCTTACTGAATGATTGAATGGTTGAAACATTCTGACAGGACTACAGTCAATGTTTGGTTTGGTTGGGGTTTTTTTTTTTTCACCCCATTGTTCACTTCCAGGAGAGATCTGCTGCGTGAATCTCTCTTTAATTTAAACGCTTCAGGGAAGAGAAGCACAATGAACGAGTGTGAGAAACACAGATAAGACTCTTCTCCTCCTTTTGGAATATGAATAACTCAGCTTGAGCTTTTTAGTATTAATTTTTGCCCTCCATCCACTTTCTGCCGCTTTAAGTGTTAGAAGGAGAGAGAGAGAGACGTAAAAATAGAGCAGTGAATATCGTGGGATGTCCTGTTCTGAATTATAAGAACTAATCAACCCCCCCCCCCCCCCCCCCCCCCCCCCCCCCCCTCCCCCCACCTCTTTCCTTCTCTCGAGTTCTATGGATGGCCCTACATAGACCCCTATTGGCTCTTTAGGTGTACTACACACAATCCCACTTTCTGTTTTTCCTCTTCTTCGTGATTCTACTGCCACCTGTCGGCTATCTTGGTTCATTCACCTATTAGTCTAATACCTCACGTGTTGACCTTTTCATCAGTTAGAAATCCACAGAACACAATGGCAAACCGAATTTCATAAAATGTTGGTTCTTTCTCTAAAAGAGGCAAACTGACAAGAAAATTGGATTTGTGTTCAAACTGGTTCGTGCAACTTTTTTTTTTTAATTTCAAAAACCACTCACAACAGTATGCTCAGCTATCACGAAGAAAAAAGAATTAGCCACAAGTGGATAGGTTTGAATCCTTTTCACTGACGTACAATCTGAAGGTTTGTAACTTATGAGCTTTTTTACTGAGCTGATGAAACAATTAACCACAAGCTGGAGAGTTCTCAGGGCTAAAAAAGAGAGAGAGAGAAAACCAGGTTTACTGAAACGTTATTGTCTTTTGTTGCAGCAGCAGCAGCAGCAGCAGCAGCAGCAGCAGCAGCAGCTGGGCTGCGAGATTTTTATGGCCTTTATTGAAAAGCCGTTATTTGATCAAAATTGCAGCAAAACATGGGTTCTTGTAGCAAGTTGTAAAATGTCTTGTTCTTCTAATCAAAAAACCCCTCAGACATTTGTGGCTTTATTAAGGTATGTGGCGTGAATGGATTGGATCTTTTTTTTATAATTCTTCACTGAGTGAAGACACATTTGAACTCTGCAATAAAACTATTATTTTAATTTGGATGTTTGTGTGTTTCCCCCTTTTTTATGTCTTTGATTTCGGTTGATCAGAAGTACAAATATTTGATGTCCTACTCTTGATGCACCACGGTGACTGTTTGGAGTCATTGTTCCTTATCTGTGTCTGTCGTACTGTTTGTTCGTCTGGCGTCAACACAAAAGAACAAGATTGCAGGTTGGATTTAATTCGACTGCCACATGTTCTCCGTGGCCCCTTCCATCACCAAACACACTCTCTTAGCATTCCAAATTGGCCCTTCCATTTTTGCTAATCAAAACATATTCACACACAATCATTGACCGTCTCTTCTCACAACACAACCCCAGACAATGATTGGCAATTTTCAGCTGCAAAAAAAAAAAAAAAAAAAAAAAAAATCACAGTTCAGAGGTTCACAGGAAAGAGACGGCCACAGCCAATCTGAGAGCGCTCTGCGGTTGCCGTGGAAACGCTGCAACAAGAGAGACTGAGAGGTAAAAGAGGAGGGAGGAGAGCAGATACGGGATCATTCTGTTCTGATTTGAAAGGCTGATACACAAGTCAGTGTTTATTACCAGACTCTAACAGTTGTGTGTGTGTGTGTGTGTGACTGTTTGAAAAGCACATGTGCACACACACACTTTCACAAACAGCACCTGTGCCTCACTGATAACACTGTCTCACACAGCAGTAAATAATATAATAGGCTAACAGCTAGTCGGCTCCTTTTACCATGGACTAATGTACATATGTCAAACTCAAGGCTTATGGCCCACATCTGGCCCGGCAAATCTTTTTATGTGGTCCACCAGAGCTTAACATGTGTCATGCACCCCCCCCCCTCCCTTTGGGGACAGAAATGTTTTCCCACTCCCACCCTCCGACCCACACCCCCTCAAATTAAAATACTACTGAGAACCTGATCACATGTTCATTATTATCTGTACAAATCACTGTATGATTTGCTGCCACCTAGTGGCTGCAGGCTTGTTGTCATTTAAGCATTACAGCAGTGGTACACTTATGTCCAGCGTGCCATATTCCACTAGAAGCCCCTCACGCCCACCCCCTCCACTGGCACCTCAACACGACCCCCCAGAGGGGCCCCGCCCCACTATTTGACAAGTACTGGGTTAAATGCAGTGATTAAATACCATGTGTCAACAGAATATGCATGGTAATTAATTCTCCTTTCTAAACAAGCGTGCGTTAACGGTTGTACAGTTTCCATAAACTACAGCACCCACACTGCACTTCGATTTCGTGACCAGGCAAAACACAAGACTTAAAAATGATGAAAAAAACCTTTGATTTCTATACAAGTAACTGACTCTAAAATAGCAAAAAAGTTGCTTTGTAAAAATATAAAAAACTTAAAATGTTTCTTTGGTATAAAGCACAAAGACAAGGGAAGTGCATTTTGTGTGTTTTCACTGAGCAACTACATTTTGTTATTTGTTAAATATATACTTCTATTAGCTTTGATTTGGTTTACAATTCTTTGACAAACACTTTGACGTTTTATGTCTGTCAAATCGACAACATTTCTGAGCAATGAACAAAGTACACTTAATTCTACTCCAGGGTGGTATTGTATTGTAGTGGTATTGTAGTTATATGTTGGATAAATAAATACATACTGCATACATTTAAGTCACTTTCTAAATGTGTTCAGTCATTTTAATAAGTTCTGACATCTGTTTTCAAAAAAGGTCTCAAATCAGAAACTAATAAATATTAACAGAGTAGAAACTATTTAGTTAAATCATAACCTGCCTGTATGATGTGTCGTGTGTGTGTGTGTGTGTGTGTGTGTGTGTTTACTCCCATATCTACCTGGATTTCTCTTGCTCTGTCCCAAACTATGGGAGCTGCAGCCGTTGTCAGTTGTGAATCCACCACGGCTGTGACTCAGCAGTTTTCACGGCCACAGGTGGAGCCATTCCCAGCAGTTAACGAGGGGGCGGAGTTACACCCTGGACACTGCTCCTGTCCACCTCATTGGCCACATGCAGAGACGACCCACCATTCACACTCACGTTCACACCAACGGTCAACTGAAATCAGAGTACCTGGACACATGGTGAAAACATACAGACACTACACTGACAGACTGAAGATGTCAGCGTTGACATTTTTTTTACAGTTTATATATGACACACTAAAAGTTATCAAAGTTTATTACATGTTTATGTACAAACAACCCTACAGACACACCTGTGTTTTAAATAAGAATATACAATTCTTCAAAGCAAGTTCTTAGTGTTTAAGTGAATATATGTATATAAATATATGTATATATGTATATATATAATGCATACACATATAAATATATGTATATGTGTATATATATAATGCATACACATGTATATTTATATATACATGCTGTATACATATATGTACACATATTGATGTGCAGAGCTGAAGAGAGAGCGTGGTAAGAGTTGATGGTAATGGGCTTGACACAGAGTAAAGGCACATTACACACACTTTGAATGGCATCAGTTCAACATCTTATATAAGGTTGTTAAATTAGATCATGTTAGTGGAGACAATACTTTCATAATCAGACTCAGTGCTCGCTGATGAAACCAGTATATTTTCTAACATAATCAGACTCAGTGCTCGCTGATGATACAGAAAATATAGTATTTTTTTTTTTTTTTTAAAGTCTCATACTCACTATTTTAGCTTATTCAAAGATCTGTAGCTTAGCTGGACTGACGCTCTGTCAGCCGACTATTTGTCATCCATTAATAAACGGTCATGTGATAAGTCCTAACAAAAAGACTGTGTGTGGTACTTTTGAAAGGCTTATTTTTAATCAGGAACTTTATTTTTTAAAAATTAATAACTTTTGTTTTGTTTCCTTCTCTAGATGATTATTAGGTTTAGAGTAGATACAATGACAACATTGTCAAAGGAGGATTCTTAATTTTCATTTGCTGCAATTAAAAATATACAGGACAAGTACTGTGCAAATGTTTTAGGCAGGTGCGTACATTAAATATAGCCCACTCTTTTTTATTTAAAGCAAATATGGAAAACCAGAAGCTTCTTCTTAACAACACTGGGTCATTGTGTGTTGAGGAAACGTTGAGAGTTTGAATTCTAATATGATTTTTTTTTTTTTACCCTTGCTCCCTAAAAGCTTCCACTGCCAGGTGTACTCAGTGGCCCAGGAAAAATCCATCTCAACAAAAAGTTCATCCTAGATGAACCATGATCGACACACGTGCTGCCCGCGACCCGTATTTTTTGCAGTTTAATGTCTAATTCACTACATTTGCTTGAAATTGTATATGTAGTACTTTGAACTTTTACAGTACTGTGCACTGTTTAATATTCTGGTAAATTATCACAAAACATCTTTCATGAAAAAAAAAAACTCAGGGTGAAGGCAACTTCCACCTTGACACAAACAGCATACTATAAAGCAGTGGTTCCCAAAGTTGGGGGCGCCCCACCAAGTGGGTCAACAAATTCATTTTAATATTTTCTTTATTTGTTCCAGTGGGGAAATTGCAATTTGCAATAAAGTTCAGTGTAAAGTAATAGTTTGACATGGGGGGAGACTTGACAGTATTCTGATTTGCAAAAAGGTGGCGCTACAGAATAAGATAGGGATCCACTGACAAACAGTATTGTTACTTCGGATCATATGGTGATCTGTCATGTCACTAAAGCTGCCTTTCATAAAAACAACTTTCTAAGAGAGCTTTGAAAATCTTGTTTGTGACAAAGTCCTGCGATGACTCGTCAGACCAAACAGAAACTAACCAAACAAAGGACACTCAGATCTGTCAAAGACGTCTGTGACAGAGTGTCATGACACACAAAGACGGACGATGTCAGATCCCTTACACGTCCGCTGACCTGAGCCTTCTTTACACACCTGCAAGGCACCGTGGTTCAAACTTCCGCAGGCAGCCAACGAGCACAAAGACACGCCATTGTCCTCGGAACTGTGGGTAAAGAATACTAGACAATGAATGAGCAGGAAGTCAACTGTTAAAATACTGTGTTTGTATTAGACTCACTCTGCGCTTATTTATATATATATATATATATAAAAGGAAACAAAACCAAAAGACTAAATATTCTATTTCTCCAATCATGTGTTAAAGACGTTTCAGGGAGCTGTAGGAAGTGTCTGTGTCTCAAACATCAAACGTGTGACTTCATTTCTCATCTTCTCATGATTCCAGCGACCATGTGACCACTTCTCTGGACTTGCAGCTGTGTCTGAATCCACTGCCAGTTTGTACCTTTGACAGTCCGACGCATGGAGCAGGTCGGTGTCGATGACGTACAGTACAGTTTCAGGCACTCACTCAGCGTAGTATATTCTAATGACTTCACGTCAACCCCATTCAACAAACGATGTCACTGCTGCCGTCTTGGTTCCTCTTCCTCTTACTGGAACGACCAGGAGACCCCTGACCAAAGACCACGGTGAATTTAGAGGCCTTTTAAAAAAAAAAAGCAGGTTAGAGAACTTCCATCCCTGGATCCAATACACTGGTGTGTTACAGTCGTCTGCTGATGTTCAGGAGCGTTGGCCAGGAGCGTTGGCCACTATCATGCCAGGAGACCGAGTCGCTTGACCTTTGCAGAAAGAAAGGAGTGAATGATGAAGACTATGGTCTTGGGGCAACAGTGAAGGTCCAGTTGCTGGGAGAAAAAGAAAGAGACATGAAAGTTAAGAACACTAGTAAAATCATTAGGTTATTACTGACTTGTTTCACAACTCACAATCTCTGCCTCCGGACCACCGAAGTCGAGAAACATCATGCGTACGCCATCGTCTGAGGACATCTTGAGGCGTTCGAATGGCTGCTGGAGGAGAATACTTTTCCTGACCCCCATCTCCTCGGTGAATAACGTGAAGCCCTCGTCGATGTGGACGCCCAGGGTGCAATCTTTTCCATTCCAGCTGCAGGCTGATGAAAAGATAAAAAAAACACAAGAGTTCAAACACAACAGTTGTAAAAAATAAGAAAGTCTGAAAACAACAACAACTCGACATGAAAAGCATCCAAGTTTTGCTACTGTAATGTGCGAAATAACGATGTACTACTAAATACCACCAGCAGAGGCCACTGTATGTCCACATAACACTATTACACAACGTTAACCTACAAATTTGAATTTCAAAGATTTTTGAAAAACATCCTTAAAACATAATCTGCAGATTTTTAAAAACTAAATAAGTTAATGTTTTGAAACATAAATATGATCCTGTCATATCAGGATGTTTGATCCACTACAATGTCTGAGATTTTTTTAACCAATTTTAAGCAGAAAATCAACACAAAAACAGCTAACGATTCATTTAGAATGAGAGAAAAACAGTTGATGGCTTACAGTTGTCAAAGAAAACTTCATTTTATCCAGTTAAAGTTTACTGTTATATGATGACTGCATATGATTCCATTGCAGGAACATTGAAGAAATAGAACATAAATAAGTCAATAAAGTGGGTCAGTGGGGTATCTACTGTAGTTGGAGAAAGAGTTGACCAGACACACGCACCCGTCTTGACCTCCTTGATGAGCTCAGCTGCGTTGTGGCAGCCCTCCACCAGCAGATGAGTCCAGGTGGACAAGTCCTTGGAAGAATCCACCCTGAACACATGGGTCTCCACGCCCTGCTTGGTGCCTGAACGCAGGCCAAACGACAGCTCACAGTCGAGCAGAGGGGAACTTTTTCCCGGGCCCGAGTGGACCAGTCTGGAAAACAAGCAGCGTGAGAAAAAGAATCATGAAAAAGTCCAGAGGGAAGATAATCAATGAAACATGTGCTGCAGAGAAGATGTCTCCTTGGTGGACAGTAGGGTGTGGACAACACCGGAAAAAGACAGAAGAGAAAAAAATGTATGAGTCACAGGTTCTGGTTCCACTAATGTCCTTCATATGACTGTGGCTGCAGCATGTAATGATATGATGATGAACTGAACCAAAATAAAATCTGACATGACTATCTTGCTAATGACAGGTTTCTTTATGATTTTTTTTCTATATCCCCTGTAACAGATCAGAGAAGAAACTGGAAAGTATTGAAACCAAAGACACTGGAATAGAAATATTATTTCATAAACACTGACTCAGACTCAAACATTATGTTCTAACTTCATCAAATCATGATTAACTTACAGACTTGTAAACAACAAACAATGACTGCACATGAACCTTGTAGCGATGAGCGCGTGGCTCTTCGTCGGGTTGCTGAGACTCTCTCTGCTTTCAGGCAACGATGGATACAGGAGCAGGTCTTTGTCAGTCAACACAGCTAGAACCGGTCTCTCTGGACCCTGAGAGACCTTCCCAGTAGACACACACATCACAGAGTTTAACATAGAACTCAAGTTCAAGTCCTGACTAAACTGTCCTGACTAAACTGTGGACCATCCTGTTGTTTGTCTTACAGACCTGTTCTGAAACCCAGCCCAGATGTTTCACTTCCATTCCTGGCTGCATGTGCCTCATCTCCTCCTTCACTCTTGGTAACAGGTTGGCAGCGCCGGCCTGAATCCCATTGTACCAGGACTGAGCCATTGCTGGGTCTTTTGCCCGCAGAAACACAGAGTTCTTCCTGTTGGCAGAAATGACCTCGAAATACCTGGAAGCCACGGATGAAGGATTGGATGAGGAGAGATCAGAGGACACAAAATGAAGAGAGGACAGAAGTTTGAGACATTTGCAGAAAGAGCATCTCCATAACTCTTCCTTTACAGTACCTGTTTTCTGTGTCCGGGGGGCACTGTTTTCGTGACACCTGGCACATCTTCAGGGGGATGATGCGAGGCTCCTTCACCTCAGCTGACAGCGGCTCAGTGCCCTTCTGTGGAGTGGCCGGGGGAGAGTCCCATGGCAGGCCAGCGCCGGGAGTCCCAGAACTTTTAAAGAAGGCCGACATCTCCTTGATGTACTTCACTGAAGCAGAGAGGAGCAGGAACAAGGAACAGAGGGAGACGGTTAGAGACAGAGAAAAAGGGAATTAGATATGGAGAGGAGGCAGCGAGGAGAGAGCGCGAAGGAATTTGTGAATATGAATATGCAGCCTCTGGCTTCAGAGATGTGCCGAAAAATGTAGAAACTATTTAGAGCAGCTTCAAAGAGCTGGAGAAGAAAAGACAGAACCATCTGAAAAGAATTCTTCATTACTTTGCAGCCAAAATACAAAATCTGTGGTGAAGTGTTGCACATATATAAATCTCCAATAAAAGTTGAAATATCACAAATATCACTATAAATGTGTCATTTAAACTCAAATCTAAATATTATTAAATAATACATCATTTAAACTTTAAACTTTTTCAACTTCCTTAAATTATTTAATTAATTTAAAATAGACTGAACTACTCCTTTATGTTGACCCCAGGGTCATCCTGACCCCAAATAAATGTTTTACTCTTTTTCTTTTACTTTGTGTATTTATACTTATGTGGATTTATGTGTTTTGGTTAAAAGAATATTCAGTATTATATTTAATTCACAGTAGTGAGGGTTATCTGAGGATGTCAGGGTTTAACTGAGACAACCAGTGTCTGTTGTTTCGTTTATTCCCTCGTCCAATAGGAGAACATCTTCCAATATCTTTTTCTGGTTTGAAAAAAGAATTCTATCCTTCAAGTCTGAACTCTTTTCACTGAACACTTTTCTTCCTGCTAATACAACAAATGCTGACTGCAACTGCCTCGTAGCCTTAATGTGATTGGACAATTCTACAGTCATTTCTTTTTTCTTTTAATAATGAGATTGAAGCCACAGCAGAGATTTAAAGCAGCGAAGCAGCAGCTAATGGTCACTCTTCAGAACATTAACACACTGCTGCGGTCAGTGATGCAGTAAAAGGCAGTAAATATTAATGTATGATTATATCTTGCTGTGGAGACACTTTTTTTTCCCCCCTTCAATTTTACCACATACCTACATACGTGTACACACACACACACACACACAGCCTATGCTCCAGTTCAGCCGCTCGGCTGTGGTATAGGTCTGGAAGAAGTGGCCGCTGTTGGAGTAAAAATAGCCCTAGAGGACATGGCTAGGCATAAGGCAAATGGATGAAGGCAGGGCTCTGGTTTCACTGGGGAAGTGTCAAGTGCTTGTCTTGCACAGTTACAGTGCAGCAAGAGGAGGAGGGCGGGGTCAGACCCTGAAGAGCAGCTGGGACAACGGGAGTGAGAGATGACATAAGGAAACATCGCAAAGACGTCAGTCTGACCTTTAGGGTTAAATCATCCCATTGTGGTCACTGTCATACAGAAGGAACTGTGCGGTTTTTCATCCCCTCTTCTACCAGAAGGTGGCGTGATGATTCATTGATTAAGGTCAAAGGTATTAAATCTTAGGAGTGCTCCAAACAAGAACCCACTAATTCATTACATTCTCTCCTGTCAGCGAAAAGTCACGGGAAGAGACGGCGCACAAAAGAGAAGGAGGAGGTGGACAGGGATGAGGAGGAGCGGAGGGAGGAGATGAGTAAGAATGAGGAAAAGGAAAAGGAGGGATAGAAATGAGAGGAGGAGAAAAGGGGAGGTACAAGGCCCAGTGGGAGAAGACATGAGAGACAAGGAAGTAGAAGTAAGGATAAGGAGAATAAGAGAAAAAGGAAATAGTCAAGGAGGAAGAAAAGACGGATAGGAAAGAACGATGAAGGAGAATTTAGGAAGAGGCAGAAGTAGAATGAGAAGAAAGAGAAGAAAGTAGAAGAAGGTGCTGCCGGTCGAATGAGGTGATGACAAGTATCCGAAGTGACGTGTGACGGTGAAGGGAATAGCAGTAGGAGTAAAACAGGAGATTTATATACGAGCTGATATGACAGACTGCAGGCTAAGCTGAAGATGGCAGAGTTGAAGATGTGAAAGACTTTCAATAAGAGTGTTCCCAAAGTAGGGGATTAGAATTAGCAAATCAGGAGAACAGCTCAGGCTGAGATAAAATTAAAGAGACACATGATGGAGCTGTGAGGCACTAGGACGACTCCGCACTTTTATCCAGAAACAATTGTCGACTTTGAATGAAAACCTGTTGAAATGTAAATGTCTGGGCTTCTCAATCGTTGCCTTGGAACAGTATCATCCCTCAGACCTTCATGTAAATGGAACGATTTGTTGGAGCACATCCATCGAAAAACACGGATCACACAGGTTTTTTTAAGAATGTTCATACATAAATGTGTGTAAATACATACATGTGTATACATACATATTGTATGTCACACAAACAGTGGGAGGTAAAGGCCAATATTCTCTCACACTATCTTGTACGGACAGGATGATGTGTTTCAAAATATCACTGTGTGGGCAGTCGAAATGATTCTGACTTGCTCGTCTGCAGCACAGTGTGCTGGAAGTTGGCACAGAATGCTTCCTTAGCGGTGGAGTGTTCTTTTAGTCCTTCTTTGACCTCCGGTAGGATGACTTAATATGATGAAAAAGAACGGCAGCTTTGTTTTAAAACTGTGAGACGGTAAAATTCAAAATCCTTTTGCACTAAAAAAAAGAATCAAGCAGTGACGAAAAAAAAGTATACACACTGAAAAAAGAAGGTAAAGTTTACTGCATTTCTGTTGCTGGACAAGTGCTGCCTTGTGTTTTTTTTTAATGAAGCAGCCTGAAAAGTTATGCTGAAGTACAATGAAAAATCTGCAGGATTCCTTGAAAAGTTCACTAATGGATGGAACACAGGGCAGGGAGTTGAGACCGTTATCTGATCATCGTGTTCAATCCTTCGAACACTGTTCCACGTCCAATCAAAGCTCTAGCATGCCTGAAACATACACTAAGATTTGAAGATGAATGACAGGCCTTGGTGAAGGACCAAAAAGAAAACAACTCAGAAAGATACGTTGCCATGATTACCAGTGGTGGCACATTTAATACGGCGCTAAAAATAGCTGCGATGACACTGTTATTACTTAAACGTATCTGGCAGCAAGTTAAACTACTTTCTTACAGTTTGTGTAGGAGTGCATGTGTGTGTGTGTGCATATGTGTGTGTGTGTGTGGTTTAACATGTAGTTCATTTCACTTCTCTTGCAGAATCCTATGGAAGGCTTTTACTGCAACACTTGTCACACTAAACCGTGCAAATCCTGCTGCCTGGCTTGACCTTGTCTGACCTTGCCTTAGTGCTGATTATAGCACACTATAGCACATTCTGATACAAGTAATCTGATCGAATTAGCGCAGTGTGAGCGCACACACACAGAGGCATGCACACACTGATTCAACTGTCTCAACTTGACATACACTGCTGAGTATTTGGATTGAAGTAAACATATAGTACGGAGGAGATATTAAAGTAAATATTACTACACGCTCATATAAATTTTCACATTTGCATTTTTCTAAACAGAGGTAATTGGTTACACAAGTGTTAAACTCTAGGTTTGCCACCAAACTTGAAGGAGCAGTGACCAACTGGTATCAGGTGTCAGTTTTGTAAACTAAAGGCCATTGGTGCTTAAATCTTTATTTAAGTGCATCTACATTTAAGGAGAGGCTGTGGCTGTTAGCCGTGTTCTCAGGGGGGATTATTCTAAGTTCTAAGTATTCTAAGTTTAGAATTCTTTATTAAAATTATGTGTACATTAAGTTCAGTTACTGCAGGAGTACGGCTCCACAGTTCAATGGTGCTCATCACGACTTAGCATACCCTGCTAACACGTATCATGTGTCACTTATATATATCACACATAACACTGCTATGAATTTTAATTTCCCGGAGGCACACGGATGATAACAAGCATAATGGTTTTCCTAAAATTGATAAAATTGTGAACAGATTTCTGGTTCTGGTTCAAAACAAAACCGCAGTAATAAATACTACAACAAAAACAGCAGGTTGATGGTAATGTGTTGGTGAAGAAGTGGCATTGACCTGTTAGCGTCTGAGCTACTGCCAGCAACCACCCCCTCCTCCCCGCAGCTTGGTTACCGTGGGAGCGGGTGGAATGTCATTGGCCAGCCAACGACCTCAATGGTATGTTATTGGCTCTGGAAACCATGTCAGGCAAAGAATGCCCCAGTGTTACACCACTGATGTGGAGAGATGTCTTGGAACACAACAACCTCATAAATAACGGCGCAAAGATACGAGAAAAACACTTGCAGTTTTGTTCAGTGTACTGAGGGCACCAGAGGTGAAGAGAAGAAGTCATTATGGAGCCAAATTAATATGTCAGCAAATAGAATCTGACGCTGAGACTAATGACAGACTTGTTTATAGCGGGTACAAAGTGGATTGTGCAACAATAACCACTGTTTAACCAACAGACATAATATTGTATTTGATAGATCAGCATGTCAAAAAACAGCTTCAGGATTAAAAAAAAAAAAAAAACAAAACAGAAGGACATATGCAACTTATGCAACCACAGAGCCTTTCCTATAAAACCCCTCCACACTGGGGCAGGTAAATTCTTCATACAACTCCCAGTACTGGTACCAGAACCATCTAAATACATCTGTTTATACTTTCTCTCCATCAGGCTGTATTAACTATGAAGCAGGTTTCATTTTATTTCTCTTCAATTTTCAATAAATAAATACATACTTATTTATACTTAGTTGAAAGCCAACCTAATGTTACTGAAGTTAAATTGCACTTGCACTATTGAAAAAAAGGGGGCGCAATATATATCATTTAAATTCATTATTGAACTGCACATTGGAATATGAATAATCAAGATTAGTCACAGAAAATCATACGATTGATCATGAATGATCCAGCAGAAGAAATTACGAATAATCAAGTCCAAGGATTTTGTAGAGATTAATTTAAAAAAAATTCTGATTAATTCATGAAGGTTTAAGGTGTTAACAGTGTTAACTGATAAACACTAGGTTGGCTGATTAATTCATGAAGGTTTAAGGTGTAAACAGATAAACACTAGGTTGACAGAGTTAAGAAGTCACATTGAA